CCAGCCCATTACCTGGTAGCTTTCTATCTGAACTAATTATTTTTGCTAACCAAGCTACTGAAGGACTACGAGTGTTGCCAGTGCCCTCTAAATTTGATGTTTTCTACATTCAGCAAAACCTCAGTGGCTCTACCCCCTTCTTGGCCCTGCCTACATGTCTTTTTATTCAAACTGCCAAGTTATCCAAAGCATGTCTTGTAAGACCACAATACCTATCGGCTGTGGAGAGATCATACGGTGTGCAGTGCATTATTTACCAAATACTGTTATCTGGATAAAGAAACTATTTCCAGTTATAGGTTTGATAAAGTGGTACTCTATTCTCTTGTTTAGGAGAATGCTTCAGCTTGCTGCTGGGGTAATAACTGCTTGACAATCTCCAAGGGTGGAGATTAGTGAAAGGAAAAGGGGAAGATCCCTTCTTTATATCTAAGATTTCTAATAGCTACTCTCTTCTCACTGCTGGAGCTACCATGCATGCACTGGAAAGCTGGAACTGAAAGATCTCTGTTACAGTATCCTAATGATCAGTTATTAGAATGTCTAGAAAGACAAATTCGGATAGGCTCTACTATACCTACAACAAATGTTTGGTTCATATAGCTCAGAACGCAACACAATAAAAAATCTCAGAGATACTATATTGAAAAACAAGTCATGAATGAGTGCAATGGCTATGCAGTATTTTTATTAGTGAATAATAAATTATAGATAAAATTGTTCATTTTAATTATAAATATTCAAAGTGTAATTGTAAAAATAAAAAATTTATAAAAGCTTGCAAGAGTAAGACTTTATTAATTGATTGTTGATTTGAGATGTTATAGAAGATAATTTTTCCAGTTACTGATTTTCATCTTGGTTTTGATTGGAAGTCGGAGGGAAGCAATCTCAGCTGCTTAACTGTATACAAAATTGCATAGAATCAGGATCTTGGAAGAAGTTTTTTTTTCCTACTTTATTCTCTTTAAATAATATTTTGAATGTAAATCATTTGCTTGATCTACAGCTAGACAGGGAAGATTTAATCTAACCTCTCTGATTCTTTTCTAATACAATATATGTGTGCTGTGGCACTCCTCCTCTGAATACTGTAGAAATAGACCATTGCATTCAGCTTTTACTAATCATCAGCTGTATGCACACAGGTGCCAATAAATTTAAATAAATTAAAAATCAGTCAAGACTAGATAGCTAAGTAGTGCTTTCATTCAGAAATCAAAGCCCATCTTTTTGATATTATTGATTTTTCTAGTGAGCTCCTATTTTATTTACATTTGGAAATGGTTTAAAGATGTAAAAGTGTTTAAAAATGAATTGATGCCACTAAAGTAGTTTTTGTAGAAACATGTTCAGCAGTATTGTGAAATTGTGTGACTATGCAAGTATTTTTGGTTTGGAATTGTCAGTTATAATTTTTCATCTAAAGTTATAGCTGCTTCCTGCCTCGATTGTGATGTATTCACAGCCCCTGTCTCCCCATCTCTTTCACTGTCAATGGGTTATGTTGCTCATACTCTATTTTTATTTGACCTGCAGCCAGTTGCAAGTGTTCCAAAGGACAAAACCAGAACTGGCATGACTTCTACTTCTTCAAGCTGGCCTGCTGAAAGGATGGATAATTGTTAGTGACTGCTATACTGAAGACTGAGTCCTTTCTATTTTGCCCTGATTTACACTGGCCTTCCCATATTTATTTGTAGTTCATAAACTAGACAGCTCTCCATTATTTAACCATGAAAGCAATGTTGTCAATAGTGGTAGCTTCTGAAAGTCTTTTAGAAATCTCATTTTGCTTTATCTTATGATGCAAAAGACTTCAGTGTTTTATTACTAGTGAAAGTCCTTTGGCTAATGTGGGTAACAGGTTATAAAATTAGAAGTTCTCATCCTCTTTCTAATCTCATAAAGTACTAATACTTTTGCCCTCTATAAACGACCAGATATCAAAAAAGATTTTAAAGAAGGAAAACTGAAAGTCTCAGAAAAAAAAGAGCAGTAATATTCTCTTTATTTCAGACTAATTGTTCAATCTTAAAGTTTTTCTTGATTTATAGACTAGCTAATATCAGGAGAGTTAATAATGAATGGTTTCATATAGATAGCACTTAAGGAGTTTTTTTGTTTGTTTGTTTTGCGAAGCAGAATGTAATAGGTACTGGACATGGGAGCCAGGGAAGTGTGGGCTTCAAATTTTGCCTCCTACATGTCAGAGGGTCATAGATTTAGAGCTGAAAGGGAACTTGGAGAACATCTTGTCTGATTCTGTCATTTTATAGGTGAGCGAATGGTGCCCAGGGAGTTTAACATTAACAACATTATACTATTTATATAGCAAATTTATCCTCTGTATTGTCTCCCCCATTAGACTGTGAGCTCCTTGAAAACAGGGATTGTCTTTGTATCCTCAGTGTTTGGCACATAGTAGACATTTAATAAATGTTTATTGACTAATTGATTAGGAGAAATGAATTTGAAGCTAAGTACTTTCACTCCAAATCCAGTGATTTTCCCATCACAGCATGCAAAACTAGAGGACTGATTGGATTTGGAAAGAAAGTCAAGGATGACTCCCAGTTTTCAAGCCTAGGAGAATGAAAGAAAAGGGGAAATCATGAAAGGGAGATCTGACTTTGGTACTCCAAAAAGGAGTTTTGTTTTTGTTTTTGTTTTAGACACAAAAGTCACACAGGTACTAAGTGGTAAAATTGAATTGTGGTCCCCTGCTTCCAAATCCAACAGTCTTCCCACTGTGCCTATTGTTTGCTAGTGCTGAGTAGAGCTGTGGATTTGACTCCAAAGAATTGAAATAGCCTCGAGAGTATGAGCTAGACTCACAAAAAGAGCTGTCAACACTTCCTTGTGAAGAAGAGTCATACACAGCAACTGCAGTTAGGGGAGAACCAACTGATTGCAACGGGGCTCAATGGAGAACTAGCAAGAAGGCAGCACAGTGGAGAAAGCAACCCATCAGACAGTATCACTAGATGTCAGCAGATGACATCAGCAGCTCAGCAGAGGAGCTAGAAATGGTAGCTTTAGGGATAGCCAGATGTTCCCTAGGAGTATGAGTTGTGCAACCTAACATATTCTCCTTCCCAGTAGTTGTGTGGGAAACTATGTCCCCCTATGCACATGATAGGATTTTTATTGTTATTTACCTTGCTATTCTGTTGAATTAAATATTTGTGTTTTAAGTTAAGTTAATGTGTTTTTGGTATAACAAAAACACGCCAACTTACATTAAAATTTAAAATTACATAAAAAAATGAAGTAACAGCCTCAGGTTTGGGTTAGAGGACATGGTTTTGAATAGTCGCTAACTCTTAAGTGTGCCTTCATCTTAGTTACAACTTTCAGGTGCCCATATTTGAGGAGAGCCCAGGTTACATTGCCAAGAATATGATCTTAATGAGGGGAAGCAGAGGAAGAGGAGGCAAGGATAAAACTGGAAAGTCTCTTGTGTACTTTTTGCTACTAGACTTCGGAAGGACCTCAGCCACTTCCACGGAACTGATGTGTCTTTACAGAGGTGGAGAAAAATATACATAGTGGTGGTGGTGGATGATAGCTTGCTTCTGTTTTACCTCTTAGACTTGCTTTTTCAAGCAAGCTCACTTCTCCTTTTCCCCATAATGGTCTGTTGAGTGAACCTTCTTGTTTGTATATTGTTGGCCCTCTTTGTGAGTGGGTGGAAGTGGTTAAGGAAGAGGGAAAAATTAAGTATAGTAGATTATTTTAAATGGGGAGCACTTTTCTAAAAGAAACAGCAAAACCCCCATCATTCAGTTATTTTTAAATGATTTGTCTAGTCATAGAAGTCAGGGACTAGTAAGACACATACACACAGAGCACTGACTGAAAATGGACCAGATAACTTCTTAGATCATTCTTGTTTTTGATTTCTGTGATTCTAGAATGGACCAAATTGAATATGCAAATTATATATTCTTTAATTTTTAAAAATTTTCAGTCAAAGTTAAGTGGAAAACAATCACCTGCTCAAAATATGTGCACAGCCCAGGTATTGTCAATCTCTTTGACCAATTTAGCTGGGTTTTTGTTTTGTTTTGTTTTCTGGTCAAAGGCTGCTTTGTCACTGGGATGCAATGAAATAACTTGCTCGTGAGTCTGTTGCAGCAGATCCCATGTTTAATTGTATCTTCTGAATGCAATTTACTTTTGGTAACTCGGATCACTTGTTTCTCTCTCTCAATCCTTGTGGATTGAATACTTGTATTCTTGAATGAAATTTAATGTTACAGATTTTAATTTAATACCTTATTAAGTCAGATACAGAGTAGCATTTCAATGATGAATGCCTCTGTAAGTCTTTTATAACAAAACCCAAGAGAAAACTGTGATTTAAAAGTATTTGATGACTACCGAATGACATAATGGCTAAGATAAATAACCTCCTATGAGTTAACACCATTAACTAATAGAACATTTGAGATGCTTTATTGCTTATTAAAATGTAGAAATGGATCGTAACTTATAAATATGTAAGAATTTAAATCACTTCATCCAGAAAACATCCAAACTATTATATATAGACAGAAAAGAGACTGCCTACTTAATTATTGTTCCTTCAATAGAAATTTAGAATGAGTTCAGAGTCCTTCTGGGTTCAGACTGTCTAGAAAAGTCAATTTCATTTGATTCTTGAATTTTACCTATATAGTATTACTTAGCAGTTATTTTGCTCAGTTAACAAAGTAAGGAAATAGAACTTTAACTTCATGAATTCTCTAACGGAAAAGTATATTTTCAGCTGTTTAATATAATACTGGTTTAAAAATGTCACAAAAACTCCACCTTTTGTTTTTCAGTTAAAAAACACACAACGGTGACATAAGCATAACAATTTTCTTTCAAAAATGTCATTGTTAGTTTCTAAGAAATGGATAAGGACATTTAATGAGAATGACAATTATGCTGTCAAAGGTATTTCAAGGAATGAAGGATAATGGGAATGTAACCACTTAATTTTTTTTTAGTCCTAGGCCACCAATTCCTCTCTCTCTCCTTCTGTCAGAAGAAGAAGCAACCCTCATCATCCAGTCATTCTGGAGAGGCTATCTGGTAAGACTAAGGTGTAATTACCCTGATTGGTTTGATGTTGAATCTTTGTGACTCAGAAAGCACATGATAAAACTTTTAAATAAATTCTATAAACAGAGGTTACTATAAATAACACCCAGACCTCCAGAGATCCCTGGGTAGTAGATTCTATACAAAAGAAATCTTGAAAAGTAATTCTGACTTCTTTTCAAAATACATTTTTATTTCATTTAAAGTACCTCTGAATTTACAGTTGAATCAACCGAAATGTGTGGCATGCGCTACAATTAGTATAATACTATTTTTCTACCTCCCAGGTTATTTTTCCTGATTGAATAGTAGTAAGTACTATCAATTTGCCATGTAAATGCTAGTTGCTATTCTGATCTTTTTTTAGAGAAGTAGTAGAATTCTGCCCAAGTCTGACATGTTCAGGAGACTAGTTCACAGATAAAAGATCAGTGTGGCATAAACCAGCATAGAGAAAGCCTCCATGAATAGAAGTGGGTATGGACAAATTTGACTGTTCTACCACAGAACCAGTTGATAAGGTTTTCTTTCCTCTCTTGTTTGAGAGAGCGCATTCATACACACTGCAGAACTGGCATGGGAAAATCGAATGGATATGAATTCTAGTTCTAACTCTAACCAATTAATCATAGTAACATAGATTAGGCTTAGAATAGTAGGAAGAAACCTTTAAGGTCATCTAGTCCAACCCCCTTATCTTACAGGAGAAGAATATGGGGCCCAGAGGTCAGTGACATCTCCTAGAGATAATAAATAGCAGAGTGGGGGAATTCAAGCCCAGGTGCAGCATTCTTTCCGTAATACCATGCAGTGAAGATTTATTGGGTGCATTCTTTGTTCAAGGTACTCTGCAAGATATTAGGGATACAGAGAAATATGAGATATGCACCCTGACCATAAAGAATTTACAGTATATTTGGAAAGAAAACATCTATCAACACAAGGATGACTAATAGTTTAAATAATATAGCATATTGATGTTCACAGGGTACTTTTAAAGTCCAAGTACAAGTATCATAAGCACATTTTACAAAAGAAAAAACTACAGTTTGGGCAGGTGAAATGACTTGTGAATGGATAAGTATCCCCATTTTATAGAGGAATCTGAGGTTCAGATAATTTCTGTCAGAAGTGGGATTGGAATGAAGGTCTGCTAGGTCCAAAGCCAATTGGCTTTCTCCAGTAAACTACATAGCAAGGTGATTGTTAAGTGAATGATTCAGATAATGAGTGCTTTAAGAATTCAGAGTAGCCATAACATAATAGTAGATAGAAAGCTGGCCTGAGAACCCTGGGTATAAGCCTCACCTCTGGTACATGCTGACTGTGTGACCCTGGGAATGTCACTTAACCACTTAGTGCTCCAGGTGACTCTCCAAGGCTATAAACTGCAAAGCAAATGCCCACCTGTATAGGTAGAGGAGTTTCCTATGCCAACATAATTATAGATCAGGTCTAGGAGGAAAAAAGAGAATCTAGAGAAGGGATTGCTCCTTGGGAGTTGAGGTAGTCAGGAAATTTTCACTGAACAAGTGGTACCACAGGCAGGCTTTTGAAGAAAGAGGATTTAGATGAATGAAAAAAGTGGGAGGGGGGTGGGTGGTCCCAACAGCAGACTTATTAACGGAAAAGGAAAGTGATGTGATCAGAATCACACAAACATCGTGGGATCTGGGGGACACAATCAGTAGACGAATTTGTCTGGACTAGAAAATTTATGTAAGAGAGCTGTGGAAGACATTGTTGGAGGTATGGTTTGGGGACCTAAATGTGGTCTTGAATGCCAAACTATTGGAGTTTAGACTTTATCCTTTAGTTATTGTGTAGGGTAGTTCCCTGGTTTGTATATTCTCTCCCCCTCACCCCTTATATAAAATTGGTTTAAAAAGCAGTTATATCAAAGCACTTTGCAAAGACTTGGAGGATTGTTCAGTGATAACGGTGAAGAGTCATCATTGTATTCTTCTTATTTCTAGTAGAGGTTTTGAGTTTTTAATGTACTTTTCCTAGTATAGAACAGTCTTCTTTTTTTGCCTGATACAAGTAATTTTCAGTTATCCATAACAGTGACCTTACACCAACCAGTTGTTTAACCTTTCTATTCTTCTAGATTTTCAGAGATTACTTAAAAGCATCAGATTGCTTTTGCATCCAAGAAACTCAGTGTCCTAACTTGTCTGGCATGAAACCATTTAAACTGATTGTAAAGTATATCTTAACCAGATGCATTAACAGAAATATAACAGTATGTGAAAGCTATTTTTGAGTGAATGTTTCGTTGTAGCTCTGATTTTATAATTAGCATTGTAAGTATATTCTAGATATTTATTGCTAGACATTTGTAACATCATGGATTTAGACATGTGTTTCTTCCTTATATCCAGAAGCTAACCTAGCTGTTGGAAACCCAGATTGTCTTAGTATGTCAATTTTTATGTTCTTATCTATTTGTATAATATGGATGAGATCTGTTCCTTTAAAACCTTTTCAGTGGTGTGATGTGCAGTATATCACACTGCATCCAAGGGTTAGTATTAGTAGTCTGTAATGAGGAGAAAATTAAAATGAAGGGTACTCATTCTCTAAGGCAAATTGGAATTAGGCTAAGAAAATGACTAAAATATCCATTACCCTTTGACCCAGATATCCTACTGCTAGGCATGTACACTAAGGTCCTTAAAGATAGAAAAGCCATGAACTAAACATGTATTTATAGTAGCACCTTTTGAGGTAGCAAAGAATAAGAAACAGATGTCCATTGATTGTGGAAAGGCAAAACAAATTGTGGTTCGTGAATATAATGGAGTATCACTACACTTGAAGAGATAATGAACATGAAGAATACAGAGGAGACCTTTTCTGCACATGGAGTCCTGCTGCTGCTGCTAGTTCCTTGTCCTCTGGATTACCTTCCATTTACTCTGTGTATATCTTGCATATACCTGGTTGTTTGCATGTTGGCTCCCTCATTAGAATGTAAGCTCCTTGAGGACAGGTACTGGTTTTGCCTTTCTTTGTGCACCCAAAACTTAGCACAGTCCTTGGCACAAATTAAGTCCCTAATAAATGCTTTTTGGCTAACTTACTGATGTAAGTAGAATTGAGAAAATTATATATATATATATATATATATATATATACATATAAAATGTATGTATGTATATGTGTGTGTGTATACAGATACACACATACATACACATACTTATATACATATACATATATGCACATATACATATAATACCTATATATATATATACACATATACATATCTATATATACATACATGCACATATATGAATGTTGTTAACCAGATGGAATTGGACTCTAACCTGTGGGTGGCCAGAGTGAAGCAAAGCAGACTAGAGACAGGAGAGTCAGGAATCAAACAGAAGTTTAATTTCAAAGTGAGGGAAGCGGCTTGCAAGCAAGGACACATGTACCAGAGCCCTGCCCCTAGTGGGGGGACCCAAAGCAATGTGGGGAGATCTCAATACTTATACCTATGGCTACACAGTGAGCTGTAGCCCTGATAGTGAAAGGTTACAGCAATAATGTGACAAATTTGATTCATAGCAGGGCTTCATGGCCAGAAACAATTCTGAGATTTTGCTGTGGCTGAGTTCATGCAAGGGTTTGTTGTTATGTCAAACTCAGGGCACAGCCTGCTTGCTGGGCCTTAGCTCTGGAAAACAGAGTGTCTCCTAATATCTTGACAGAAATGACTATATCAATGTGAAAAGAAAGAATGAGAGCTACCACAAAAACTAAACTGAATACTATGTAAGTGTTGTAAGTGTAATGACTACTTATAAGTTGGAAGAAGAGATGAGAAAAAGCTGCTTCCTCCTTTCTTTGCAGAGGTGGGTGGCTTAAGTGTGGAACTTTGCATATACTGACATACTTTATTATTGCTCAACTGCTTTTCTCTTCTTTATTTTTTTTTTACAAGAGATGGTAAGGGGAATGGAAGGTGATGTTAAAACAAAAGATATTGATAAATTTATTTAAAAGTAGATGAAGGGTACTAACCTATTAATTGGCATAGAAAACACTGCCTCTATATTAAATTCAAAGGACGCAGCTAGGAGGTGCAGTAGATAAGAGTGCTGGGCCTGGAGTCAGTAAGACTCAACTTCCTGAATTCAAATCTCGCTGCAGACACTTACTAGCCATGTGACCTGGACAAGTCACTTAGCCCTGTTTTCCTCAGTTTCTTCATCTGTAAAACGGTCTGGAAAAGGAAATGGCAAACCATTTTAGCATCTCTGCCAATAAAACTCCAGATGTGGTCAAGAAGAGTTGGACATGACTGAACAACAACAAATAGTAAGTTCAAATATGACTCTTATGATGCTCAGTGGTTTGAAATTCCTTTAAATCTCTTACAAGGAAGATGAGAAATAAATCCATTGACTATATATTTCTAGTTACAAATGCCTTTGAAAATTAATTTTCTTTTTGTTTTTCCTTACTTTTCCTTCTCCATAACCTGAGTGTGAACACCATAATAAGATTAATTAGGATCAATAATTTTTCCCATTCCCATTCCCATTTCTTCACTCTGTGAATATCAGAGAACTACTGATTTCCATTAACTTTCATATGTTGACTTTCCAACACCATCTTACCTAATTAGATCTTGCCAGTTGTTCTAAATATGATGTCTTTGTTGAAGTGTCAAAGTTTAAAAGATTAACGTTTGATATTAATTAAACAACTCACCGAAGAGTTAATAGGTGTTCAATATGCTTTACTCATTGAAAAGACTAACTAGGCGATCTGGAGTACACTATAGAATAGTAAAAATGCATGAAGCTAATTGGCCCATTTGGGGCTCACAGACTGAATTAGGTTTGGACATTTTCTTGTGACAGCCCTGAGGAAGCAACCCAGTTTTCTTGGGGTTCTCCAGACCAAGTATGATTCACGGTCCAACTAGTGATCCTGGCAAACTATATATTTCATGTAGGAACACTTGCGAGGCTAGGATT